ATTTAACAACAAATTTAATATTTTTCCTTTGTGTGATAATTATTAATTATTAATTAGGCGTAGCATCACACACATGTTGTGCGAGCGGCCATTAAAGTGTTAAAGATACACTGAACACTTTTTAATACTAAAAGAACCTCAAGAAACTTTTGAAAATAAAATTCAAGGAAACAATGTTTAACTATGACAACCTATTTAAAATAAATATAATTAAATTAGAAACTATTTCATATGTGTATATAAATTTTTTGATATTTTTTGTTTCATACAAGGAAGATTAGCAAAACTTTTTGATACTAATATTAAATTTGTTGTTAAATTGTTATTGTTTTTTGTTTTATGTGTATGTTCGCACATGTATTATTTCGTGAATTTTAAATAGAGTTTTTTAAAATTAATTCTTCAAAAATATTGCCGACCCCTGGCAACGTTTGTTTGCCAGGGGTCGGCAATATTTTTTTAAAATTAATTCTTCAAAAATATTGCCGACCCCTGGCAACGTTTGACTGCATAAAAGTGCGGCCACTAAAGTGTTAATATTAAAAAGAAGAAATTCATACGGAAATAAACAGGCTGTATTTTCGAGATCCTTAAAGAAATTTTGAGAAATAGGTAAGAAGTAAAAATAAAAGGAGATATATAAAAGAGCTTTGTACGAAATTTAATTCTGAAGTATCACGAGGGTACTGAAAGGCAGATAATTGTATTAACACGACTACTTATGATCCTTTACTTTCTCGTACACGTACGTGTCACGAATGAGCAGCGTTGAACTCTTTGGTTCTTATGAAAATCTCTTTTGCATGCGAATGTCGAGGAGAAAGACGCCTCGATATCTGAGATACGTGATTTGGCAATCGGAGAAAAGGAACACCTACGTACGCATACAAATTCCTACATACATATATACGTAAGACGACAACTAGAAAAAGAAGTATGTTACTCGTTATTAAATTCATTTCGGAATAAAATAAAATATTCCTTGTTTAAGAAAGATCAAGAATAATCTTTCACTAACATTTCCTCGCTAAATAATTTTTACCACATACGTAAAATAATGAGACGTGTCCAGAATATTTAAAGATTTCATCTTTAACGAATCCTCTGCTCCAGAAAAGTTTGCGATTTTTCAAATATATTCTAGATACACTTCCAAGTCAGAGATAATCATGCCCAATAGACAGAATTCCTATTTAATTGCGCAATTACGTATCTCCACTCGACATAGGAATAACTTACATTTAAGAATTCGTTGAATTTAATTGATCGGAGAATGTGCCAAGGTTAAATTTCTCAAAATGTATTAAAAATTCCTTACAACGTATTCGAAGGATCTCCAGAAGCGAAGTTATTAAGGAATTTCATAACGCTAAGCGATTCTTAATAAATATTACATTTACTGGAACAAAAATTTATCACGAGTGCAATTATATTGAAGTGTTATTATAGTACGATATAACGGAAGATACAATTAACTTGAATTATACCAACGATAGCTAACCGATCTACCAAATGAAACACTGAAATATAATTTTATCTCTCAATTTCAGATCTCGCTTTCTGATTCGATACTTGCGCCGCAATTAATCGATTGCGCATCACCGGCTGTGCGGGTTAAATAATTTCCATTAATTTGCACTACCGAGGAAAACACGATCGGCTGCGTGCAACGGAATAAATAAACCTAGAATCACAGGTAACAGCAGAAAATCGCGTAACAAGCTGAATGGAGCTATCCAAGGAAAGTAGTACACGCAGGAATGAGTTCCCGGGGCATTCGCGTCAGGCTGCTTTCGATCGTGTAACGTTCTTTCAAGGGAAACATACCGACCATGGAGCTCGTATAAAATTCCACGTCAATTGCAATTAGATACGGGTATTAACATATTCAGTACCGAGCGAGGAGCTTTACTTTTCCCTGCAGTTCAACGACAGTACAAAAGCAACGAAGACTCGCGGTTTCACCAGTCTGATTAATAAAGTCCGTGATGAAATCGAAAAGATTGCCACACGTTTCACGCACGATGTAGCAAAAATCAACGTTCACCGAGCTCTGATCTTAATCGAGACTCGTCACGCGTGATTTAGTAGCGTTCTTTCATTTTTTCCATGGGAATATCGAAGATCGATTCAGCGAGATCGACGAAGAGGACAGAACGGATCAAGATACGGATCTTTATGCTACTTATGTAACAGCTCGGCGTTTTTACGGTGAAAAGTAAGTCGAGGATTGCAACAGATTTACTTTTCAGGAGAATGTCTGACAAAGATTAATTTTATTTCTTCCTTTTTTAAACGAAAATTCCATTTTTCGAGAAATTTTTAATTTAGGGAGAAAATTAGAATTAATCGTAACGAAATCAGGCAGATTTTTGCTAATATTAAATCTACAGATTTAGAAAACTGGTTTATGCGAAATGTTGGGTAAAAGAAGAAAGAGAAGTTTATTTCTTTAATTAATCTTTAATCTCGGATATATCTATGCACGTTAACCACGAGAATCAAAGAACCATAATAATTATTTAATTCTTTTATTACCACCGTATATCGATTACATATTAGGTAAAGTAAAAAGAAATCCGTTATTTTTGCATTGAATTTCATGCACCTAATTTTTACCGTACCTAATATAATGAAAGACGAAATAAGTTAACAATGTTGGCCATCACCTGAAAATTCCAGTATTTCTTTTTACTTCACCTAATATTTCCTATCCTTTAAATTTAACACTAAGTTTACGGATGCTATCTGTATACCTATTTCTAAGGACACCTGTCAAATTGACAGGTAAAGGAAACCATGTGCCTTCTTTTTTAACGATTAGTTTAATTTCAAAATAATTATATATTATATTAACAGTCTTAATATAAGTTAACTAAATCTGTTGCCATCGTATAATTAGAGCAACCCTTCCGTCAAATTCACGGGTTCCGTAAATCTAATGTTAAAGAACGAAATAAATCGTACAATTTTATACAATTTATTTATTCCTATAATTCAAATTGTTAACTAACTATTTCCCTATATTTATTCTAAAAGCACCGATGAGAACGCGATTCGTTCTTCTTCCCGAAAAATAAATAAACAAATAAATAGTACAATTCTATAAAATCTGTATACCGAAACATACACCTCGTGTTCTCCATTGTAATACAGAAATTGTAGGAAAACATAACAACATTGAATGTACCCAGTGCACGCAAATAAAAATTATATTGAAAAATTTTTACATTTTTTAAACAAACTACTCCCCCCCTCGCCTTATATTATAAATATTATTAGATAATATTCTACATCGAAAAGTTAGGTGCAAAGCAAGTATAATAAAAACTCGGATATGGGTCAAAAATGACCCATATGTCAACTCGTCGCGTCACTCGTCTAAGGTCGGCTATTCGAGGGTTAATCGAATCAACTGCGTCAGACAGGTGACCCCAAAATTCCTTCGTCGATGCCTAATCGGTCCCAAAAATGGCATGTTGACCGATCCGCGCGTACCGGAAGTGGCGAAGGAGGCCATCAAGTAGCGGGAGTAGGAAGACCACGGCTTCTTTCACCGCGATTTTCGCCCGAAGGCCAAGGTTAACGGGAAAAATTGAGCGAGCTAGGAAGCACGAAGACGCAAGAATGCACAGAGGATGCACAATCGGTGGAATTCGATGCACAAAAGCGTGGACGATGAGGGCCCTGAATGGCTCGCAGACCGTAGAAGACGAGAGAAAGTACGGGTCGGCTGGCCACGAAAGCAAAGAGAAAGACTGCGACGCGTCGCACGCCCGGAGACTTTTAATTCGCACAAGGCACAATGTACACCGGAATTCGGTTTCCTTTACAGAGGACGTTGGAACGTGTCCATAATGGCGCAGTTCCGCTCGAGCGAATGAAATTTTTGCGGCCGACGTGGCTTGCTCGAAGCGATCACGATATTTGAGAAATGAACGAGGTTAGAATGGCATAGTGGCGAGATACACAGGGGTGGTTCTGTGGCTTTGCGAATGGAGTAGTTTCGTAGGTTCTTTCGCGTCTCGCTTTTTGTGTACTGTTACCATTTCCTGTTATTTCTATACTTTTATTTCATTCTTACCGGTGTGCATTTATTTACTACTGCAATTTTATTTGCCTGTTTTATAGCGATATTGAAATATATAATTAACACGTTGACTGCCACGATGGTCATCACTGACCGGTGTTTGACTCCTCAGCGGGGCCTAATTTTTTGAATTTATATTTGTTTCAAAAACTTTGAACAGAAGACGTTAATAATTTGCACCATTTCTTTTTCTTTTTCAGCCATACTGCTTGATAATTCATCATTATATCGTAAGAATAATGGAAATTTTATCGTGACTCCCTCAGCATCCCATATAAGAAGTACGTGGCAGTCAAGATGAACGAATTGTTAATCAAGATACGAGCCGTTCACTGTACAAACCGATTAACTCCACCGTTTGAAAAATCTTAAATTTAAGTATCAAAGCACTTGGTATAGTCCATAGAATATAACCCTATCTTAAGGGTTAATATTCATAATAATAATACTTGCCAAAGCTCGAATCATCCTATTCCTAATTCCCTTATCCCTTTATCTCTACTTCACAATAAGCAATCTCGAATCCCAGTTTGAACAACCACAGAGCACCACGAGTACAATATGGAAAAGAAAATATTTCAACAACTCTAAATATTTTCCAATAATCATAACATTTAATATACGGAATATCAGTTTCGAAAGCCGAAAGCAGTTAATCGCAAGTCCCATCAGACAATGGGAGCTCTACCGCACGTCAGACTCTCCAGAAACTCAGTTGGAACGGTGACAGAGCAAGAACTCGTGGAAAGAGGAAACGGTGACGCGAGCATTGGTCGTAGAATGGCGGAAAAAGGAGACAAGGCGTTCACGTATACGTCAGAGGAATGGATGAGAGGTTGTAAACCAGGCGACGAGCGGTACGAGGTCAGGACGTGGTTCAGTTTCGCGGTTTTCGAAGCTGGCATTGAAAGGAGGCACCTCTCGGGACTGGTTTTCACTCTCGGCACTCGGCGTAGCGTCAGTGTGGCCGGTGCTGCGTTTTCTCGCTGCCATTTGCCGGTACTCGTCCGTCGTGCACGCGAATCGCGCAGCTTTTTCGAAATCCTTCGCTCCAGAGGCCGCAAGCTCGCGAGCTCGCTGGGAAAAAACGGTCGCGAAACGGGCAGCGATTTTCCAGTGGTACCTCGTGCTCTGGTGCGATGAGAAAGTGCAGTAAGTAGAATGAGAAGGTTGAAGAACGGCTGTAAAAATGGCCCCGGTGACGCAGTGGAAGCTACGTGTGATTCGTGAAAAAAAATTCCGCGAGAAATTTGTCATTTTTCCTTCGCGTTTTATGTATGTGCTGTGTTTCGTTTTGTTTGCTGCTGATGAATGGTGCTTTATGCAGATGGCATCGTTGGTGCGTTATTGTATTATCGTGGAGTGAAATACGCGACGTTTCGTTCATGTAGGTTTCGAGTTGTCTTGTAATCTTTCATTCTTCGAGATTAAAACGGTTACGGTGGTTGAATGGAAAACTGAAGTATTTTCACGTGCGAATGTAGCAAAAGCTATTCTTGATATTCGTAATATCGAGGTTTGGTAGGAAGTTGGGGTAAAATTGATCGATCGATGTTTGACCGAACAAAGAAGTACAGAGGACTTTAAATCACTTCCAGATTGAATAAAATTTTTAATTTCGCCGAGTTCCGAATAATTTTTCATTCTTAAATTGCTTCTATTTCGTGATATCGAATTGTTTTGTAATATATACAAATTAAATTAAAAAGGTTATTCGATGTTGGCAAAAATCGTCGAGTTGTATAAAAATAGTTCTTCGCAATTATCTTCGAATTAATTTTATTTTCTACATTTCATGCAAAGTAATATTAGAACTTGTACCTGCATGTATGTTCCATCGTGCATCTACATCAAGGGTCATTACCATCGCTGCATCTCGCCTTGCTCTCTATTTTACGTTAAAGCGTAGATTAAACTTTTTGCAAGTTTCCTATCGATGCGTCATTTTTACTTTTCCAATTTTTCTTCATTTTATAGGAACATGGGTATACCAGTTTCTTCCAGTTCCTTCTAATTAATTATTTTAAAAATGTAAAACAAGTTTTCATTACGGACGAATAAGTTGATTAGAGTGCAGGTCGTATTAGACAATATCAACGCTTCCATAATACTCTGTAATGCATATAACCAATGTTAATGACACTTTACGACTACTATGAATATCGAAAATGTTTTAAACCGCTTATTATAATTGTTAAAAATATTTCCTGACCAATGCTGCGCGAGTACTTTATGACAAATATTTCAAATATCTTTTAGAGAATATTAGAAATTATCATAAATATTGCAGCTACTTCGTGAGAATGAAATATAAATAATTGCGAAGAAGTTCAAGAAATATCACGAGAGAATGTTGCAATGAAATTTCGTGAATTTCAGGTAATTCAAGATTGGTAGAAGTTTCGAGTGGCACATTCGTTCCATCGAATGGCAGGCAATTGGACGTGGTTGTCGCGAGGTGGAATTAAACGGAAATGGCAATAGGGCTGACTACTTTGTTCAGTACTACTTCGGTCCTCGGGTTCAGCCTGATTCCTCTTCTAGCGATCGGCTTGACCGTATTCCGATATAACCAGGCGGATCCAGAATCTCGTCCGGCTGATGCACGCCAGGTTTGATCCAAATTTCAATCCACCAAGTGTTTCAGAATCACACGTTCACACGGCGAAATAAATTTATTCTCCGAGTTTCTCTGCTCATTTGCATAATTACATTCCACGAAGAATCGTTGTGATGCAACAAAATTCCTCTCTCTCCGTCAATTACCATTTTATTGATCATTATTATTATTGGTAATTATTATTATTAACTCAAACGCATATCGATAATTCTGAAACACTTTGCATTATCAAACGTCACTCGAAGATTAAATAAACTCAATTCTTTGATTTACTCAAGTAAGGTTCATACCTACAGTTACCTACGGTCGATAAAACAGATTATAGATCTTCTTCCTCTCAAAAATACTTAAAGTCCAGATATTTTGTTTTATACGATAAATTGTTGATCAATGTTGCTCGAAATTATCTTCTACGTTTTCGTTTTCAGCTTCTACGAATGTACGATTTCATAGTGATCGGCGGAGGAAGCGCAGGTGCGGTGATCGCGTCGAGATTGTCGGAAATATCAAATTGGACCGTGTTGCTTCTAGAAGCGGGGGGCGACGAAAATGAAATTTCGGATGTGCCTATATTGGCTGGATACACCCAACTGTCAGAAATGGACTGGAAATACCAAACTTCGCCACCGACTGCGTCAGCATACTGTCTCGCCATGATCGGTGACAGGTGCAACTGGCCGCGTGGAAAAGTGCTTGGTGGCAGCAGCGTATTGAACGCTATGGTTTATGTCCGGGGTAATCGGTAATTCAGAATTGATTCATCGAATCTTCCTTCGATTATCGAGTCTGAGTATATGGAAATGAAAAGGGACGTAGACCAGGACAATTATGATAATAGTCATCAAGAAGAAAATAAACGACATTTCTCCAATTACTGAGAAAAAAAATAAAAATATAAGACATACCAGAGAATCATGATGATAAAAATTAACGTACTGACGATAAAAGCCATATTTCAATTACCAAACGTAGTCGTGAGCCATATAACATATTCGAATAGCATTTCTTTTCTTTTTAAAGATATTAATTAATTAATATACTCGATTACTTTCCAATTACATGATAAAACACAAGAAAAAGCGATAAAGTCCCAATTTTATCAAAATTCAATAGAGTCAGGCTTCGGCAGTTTGGACTTGAGGAAATCCAATGTTCTCGAATAAACTGTAAATTTATAGAAAATTTCTGAGAACATCCCATAAATACACAACTTTAACGATACGTCAATATCCATCGTCGCTTTTCATAGCCCATATACAATTTGCTCTAATAGTATTGTATTTCTAAGCGCATAAAGTGTATTTTAGTTGACCGAACTAAGAGTTCCAAAGTTGTCAAGATACACAATTGCCCTTAAACCGAAATTTCTCCTAACACGTTACCGATCCGTGTCTCAGCTATTGCCTATAACAATCTGAATTATTTCAGCCGCGATTACGACAACTGGGCCAGACTGGGCAACGTTGGCTGGAGTTACAACGAGGTCCTCCCTTATTTCCTGAAATCCGAGGACAACCGCAATCCCTACCTCGCACGGACGCCTTATCACGGCACGGGTGGTTACCTGACCGTCCAGGAGGCACCATGGAGAACACCGCTATCGATCGCGTTCCTGCAAGCAGGCAAGGAGCTAGGCTACGAGAACCGCGACATAAACGGCGCGAATCAGACCGGTTTCATGCTAACCCAGGGGACGATCCGTCGAGGTAGTCGCTGCTCCACTGCCAAAGCGTTCCTGAGACCAGTGAAGAACAGAGGGAACCTGCACATAGCGATGAAGGCGCAGGCGTTGAGGGTGCTATTCAACGAAGACAAGAGAGCCACGGGTGTCGAGATCCTCCGGGATGGTCGTCAGCAAGTAATAAGGGTCAGACGAGAGATCGTCTTATCGGCTGGAACGATCAACTCCCCTCAGCTGCTGATGTTATCCGGGATCGGGCCTAGGGAACACTTGACAGAGTTCAATATACCCGTGATATCCGACCTGAGAGTCGGTGATAATCTCCAGGACCACGTGGGTCTCGGCGGGCTAACGTTCATAGTGAACGAGCCGATCAGCTTGAAAAAGGACCGTTTCCAGACGATGCCAGTGATGATGGAGTACGTTCTCAATGAGAGAGGTCCGATGACCAATCCTGGGGTCGAAGGTCTAGCCTTCGTGAACTCGAAATACGCGGATCCGACAGCAGACTACCCTGATATCCAGTTCCACTTTGCACCTAGTTCGATCAACTCTGACGCCGGGGATCAGATCAAGAAGATTCTAGGTCTGAGAGACAGGGTGTACAATACTATGTACAAGCCACTAAATCACGCTGAAACGTGGTCCATTTTACCGCTCCTGCTGAGACCCAGAAGCTCTGGTTGGGTGCGTCTGAAGAGCAAGAATCCGCTCGTGTATCCGGATATTAATCCGAATTATTTCACGCATAAGGAGGATATGGATATTCTGGTCGAGGGTATCAGGATCGCGTTGCAGCTGTCCAACACGACGGCCTTTCAGAGGTTTGGCTCCAGGCCACACACTATCCGCATGCCAGGCTGTCATAGGTATCCCTTTGATACTTATGATTATTGGGAGTGCGCTATTCGACATTTCACCTTTACGATCTATCATCCAACTGGCACATGTAAAATGGGACCAAGGAACGACCCCACAGCAGTCGTGGATCCCAGGCTAAGGGTGTACGGGGTGAAAGGGCTGAGGGTGGCGGACGCATCGATCATGCCCGTGATCGTCAGCGGAAACCCGAATGCTCCGGTCATTATGATAGGTGAGAAAGCGAGTGACATTATTAAGGAAGACTGGATGTACAAGAAGAAACGATACGTGGGAAGATGACCAGGGTAGTAGAGATTTCTTCGACTGAAGTGAGTTTCCGAGTGGTTAAAATGGACAAACAGGGGAATCCACTGAGATATAATCAAAGGGTTTTTACAGGAGATGCGTCTCATTTTAAGGAAGAAGAATGTATTCAGATTTCATTTAGCTGGGTTATCTACTCACTGATCATCTAAATTCTATAGCAATTCTAGAATGATCAATGGATATATCAATTATCGCTAGAGATATCAACAATTGACAATACAGTACTGAGTATAACCATCTTCACAGTACTATAGCCATTGGATTAATCAACTTCCTGATCATCTAAATTCTATTGCAGAACTTTAATTATCAGTGGATAGATAAATCATCGCTAGAGATAATAACAATTGACAATAGAGTACTGAGTAAAGCCATCAACATAGTGCTATAGCCCTTGGTTTAAACTATTCACTGATCTTATAAATTCTATAGAAATTCTATAAAGATGAATGGATCCATAAATTATCGCTAGTGATATTAACAATTGACTATACAGTACTGAGTATAGTCATCTTCACAGTACTATAGCCATTGGGTGAATCTACTCGCTGACCTTCTAAATTCTATAGCAATTCTAGAATGATCAATGGATAGATTAATTAACACTTTGATGACCGGCAATTTTACACGGAAACTATGTCACGTCACCGGCTATAATTTTGTAATCCAATCTTCAAAATCACTTTCACACGCAATATTCTATTTCATAAATTGAAATAGATAATGCAAATGCAATGACGAGTTAACTCGTCATCGATGAACAACGTTTGTGCAGGAAAAGACGAATTAGCTCGTCACCGGTCAACAATGTGTTAAGCGTGTTTACGATTGGTTTCTATATCGAAATTTTAGGGCCTGGAAGCCTGAAACAGGTGTGTTTATGATTACTTTCTAGATTGAAATGGCTTTAGGTAATTAGTTTCACTGAGAAATGATGTAATGAATTTTGAGGGAAAAGAATCCATGGAAATTCTAGAATTGAGGAAGATTGAATTGGGCTGAAGTTGGAAGTTAAGTTTAATTCTTTATGAGAAGTTTGTTCGGAATTCTCGATCAGGGAAAAGGTATAATTATTTATCTATTATCCTGAAAGCATAACAGTACTATTAATTGTAAGAAACGTTTATGAATCGCGTACACGAGACAAGATCGAAGAAATATTATCGATAGAATGGGGGGTAGAAAATTCAAAACGAGTTGTTCCAAATGACTGTTTATAAAATTCTACGATATTTCCCAGGAAGGTTAGGAAATTATGATTTGCGCCTAATTTTTCATTAAAAAAATTCGCTTTTCTTATGAAAGTTTCTTATGGAAGCTGGTTACACACACACTGATTCGTTTCTCGTCGAGAAACTTTTTTAACTTCGGTATAAGTTAAAGGAAAACAGCTTGTTCTCACAGAGATTTGAACTTTCAAGCATGACTTGCAAGAAAATGTCAAAAGCAGTAAGTTTCTCGTGCATGGGTGGGACGAGAAGTCTCGCAAACGAAAGCTACTCAACGCTAGACCATTACGTGTGCCTCGCCTCGAAGAATTAAGATTATCCTGAGACAAACCAAATGAATGTACCTTGATACTTAACGCTGTACTTTTGCAGCTTTCCTGCATTTATTAGCCTGCCTCCATTTAATTTCTACAAACATAGACGACCTGTAAATACATTTCCCGTTACGAAACAATAACTTAAACGTGCCATTACCCATAGAAATGAATTTTCTAATTATATAGTCATGTTAAGCCTCGTATAATATGGTGATAATTAATCTGCTGCGAAATATTAGGCATAAATACAAAAGATGGGACTATCAGAATTTTAATAGATAAAGATACGATACTTTATTTACCTGGATTTCGTAATGATAGTTACCCTAAAAAAAAAGGATTTCGTTCAATTTTTCCAGAAACAAAATTATCTGCAAAATTTAATTCTTTCTCTTAGAAGATTTTAAGTCGCGTTGTTTGAAGAATACCGTGTTATGCGAAGAATGTATGTATATAAAACCATATTTCTTATTTATATTACTTAACGCGTTCAAATAAAGCTCTAAATGATAAATCCCATGTTTTAATCCCATGCCCCACACTCCATCTTTCTTGCTCTCTTGCGAATATTGGAAATACGTAATTGCTTTCAGCAAAATCCACGAAACGAGGATTATTGGCCGAAGGCAGTCCCACGGAATAATACTGAACAAGTTGCTCAACGTTAATTTGACAGGTAATATTACGAGATTGAGAGACTGCCTTATAACCGGTCAGAATTCATCGAGAGTTCAATCGCGACGCGACACCAATTGTGCACGTGTGAAAATTACGAGAAAAATTAACTATAGACTCAGTTGCTTAACCCTTTCACAGTGTGGCGAAATTATGAATTCGAGTCCAAAATATATCCAGTCTTTTTTACGTTCGAAAACACTTTGGCGTGTAATAAAAGATGTAGAAGAGCGTGATTTATATGTATCTTGTTATTAATTAGTCCGTGTATAGTACTTAGTTCTTCTCCAACTCTATATACGTTCACTTCTCTTACGTTATACCCACTCTACGGATGGTATCTCGTATAGAGGCCTAGTTTATTATTCTAGTTTATTATTCAAGTTAGTCCCGTGACAAACGCATCCCTCGCTGTTTTATAGGGCATGTTCCCTCCTCGTGGCCTCGTCTTCACGTGTCCGTAGCCTCTTCGACTGAGCTCCGGGTGCAGACGCCCCAGCTTGGCGTCTAAGCAACCCCATCTATGGCTGGGGCTTTATGAAGGGCTTTCTCTCGTCAGAAGACCATGAGCAGCGGTGAAAGTTGCCCACGCAAGAAAATTTTCAAAGCTCCAAAATATCACGGAAACTTTCCAGTATCAGTGCCCACATTTTCCACTATCAGTGTCCATAGACCTGTGACCGTCATCACAGGCGGTATCCGCTGACAGATATCGAGACGGTGCAGGATCATCGGCAAACGTCAACCTGCTGGGACTGAACGAAAGCTGGCACCTCTACGTCCTCTACGTCCTCTACGTAGCCCCCGCTGGTAACGAGGCTCCAGGTAGCTTGGAGACTTGGCCAAGTGAGCTGCTTCCAGGAAGGGTAAGTCCAACTTGTCCAATGACCCTTTGACTGTGAGGGCAGGGTTTTTCAGATGTCCAACATCTACACACGCGTTTCCTTGCAACGGTGACCCTAGGAAGTATTGTAACACCTCTCTCGCGAAGCCAGTATAGAGCTCTAGCCCGGGGTACAGCGCGATGACCAACAGGCGAGCCCCTAAATCGCACTCAATACTTGTTAGTGTCCATATAGAATCCATTCTACAAACCGAAAAACACCCGCAAAACCATCCAAGAGTGCCCCAAAAGTCGGTTGAAAGTTAGAGGTCTCTCCCGGTGAGACTACTTTCACATCAGTAGATATATCGGCGTGATATTTGAACATGCGTGAACCCGTCGGATCTCTCGCATCGCGTATGAATTTATCCAGCGATCTTCGTTTCACGAGCACACCGCCGCTTTATGTAACAGATTCCGTGCCAAAAGTCTCATTACGGGATACTGATTCTCACGTACGCCTTTTACGCCGAGTTTCCGCTTCCTCGTCTCCCTGACACGCGTCGGATTAAGTGGCATCCTCGTTATTCTTATGCAGACATCGTCCACCGATTCTGTATGCCGGACGAGTGTGTTTTTAATTAGGATGACTAGATGTTCGTTGATATTTCCTGTGTCGGGACCCTCTAGCACGTGGTTGTTAAGACGGTGTTGGTGAGAAGAGAAATTTCTTTTCTTTTTTCGTCGGATGGAGATTCGTGGAAGAAACGAGTAATTGTTTTAGAAACGTTCGTATCGTTGAGCGTTTTCAAATTTCTATATTTGTTTTGGAATTAAAAAGCGATTACGTGATTTCGAACCGGCTCTAGAACATTGGCTACGTGAAAACTGCTTTGCATAAGTATTTGTAGAAGAAAATAGAAATTTCTGTCGAGATCATCGGAGTTGATTTCTTCGCAGAAATATTTGTAGAAGAAAACAAAAGTTTCTGTTAACAGAAAGTCTAGGGGGCAATATATTAATACGCGTAGATGAATGCTGCGAGATATAGAAATAACGATTTCGTTTGGAGAGATAGATAGGGAGAAAATCAAGTTTTATAGACATTACGTTAAACCTAATTAGAAAGAATTTTGAAATAATAAATCAGTAGAGGAACAAGAAAAGAAAGAGTGAATCGGTAAAGGATCGAGAGCCAATGAATTTAACAGTATCATTCATAGCCTGAAATTTCCACTCTTACGTAGTAGATCAAACTGGGAAGTGAGTAGACGTAAGTAAACATCCTGTTTATAGTACTATCTAAAAATCACGAAGTAGATATTCTCGATTCTTTCCATTATTCATTTGCTGTTTGCTATGAGCATTATGAGAGGAGCCATCATTTGGATGACGTCATCCTGCATCGGGATCTATCTTTGCTTCGAGGAACCATCAAGCTTATTAATTTTCCTCGAAGCTAGATTGAATGATTCAATGGGCTAGTGTCACGGAGCCTATGAAAACCTCGCTGAAGGGTTCGAAGGGACACACTTTTTCGACACTCCGCAGTGTGCACCACGAAATATAACATATAATCAGTATCAAAAGTTCCCTTTGATTTATTAACCCGATCTTACCACAGAATGATCAATCGATGTATTGGTATACCGAGCTATGGAGAGGTTAGACCCCTAAACTCCTAGCTACTACCCTCTATCAGACCTCCAATCTTAATACTAAACGTACCGATACTTTACACATACCTATTCTTACTATAATGTAGTGGAAAATGAATTAATATGTCGAAACGAACTTTTTATTCTGGTTATATTCTATATTTCTTGGCGGTATAAGATATACGGAGGCAGGAAGCCTTCTATCGTGCATGGTGCAGAAGATGGACTGCCAAACAGTGTGTCGTCGAACCCTTCAGCTAGGTTTTTATAGGTCTTATGACAACCCATTGGAATCTTTATGACTTTCTGTAGATTCTTATATTATCTG